AGAGAGAGAGAGAGAGAGAGAGACTACAACTACAACTTCCAGAATCGTCTGGTGGAGGGATTCTGAGTGTTGCGGGTCCAAAAACGGTTTCCAAGCAGTGTCTTAAAAAATCTGACCATCTTGGGTTAAGGTCAGGACTGCCTGTCTTTGTAGGGGGGCCTGTTTCATAAAACTATCAGCAGTGCCTTATCTCCAGCCATCTAAGGTGACTATCATCTGAGTGACACAGGAACGAGAGTGAGCCTTCTCAGTTTGGCCCCTAGACTATGGAGCCTATGACCCGGCAGTGTCTTACGTTGCTAAGGAAATCCTCGCACTTTTTACTGGTTCTGAACCCTGATATAACTGGCTTGACATAACCTTTATTTGCTGTTACCTTGCTAATGTTAATTTCAATTCTTTCTAATGGTGTTCCAAGGCTTACCTCAGTTGTCAAATGAGCTTATACAATACCGTACAAGGTACGAAAGGATTTCTTGCTTTCATCTGTACTGGTGAGATCAAGGGGGTGGTTGGAGACTGGGACCCTCCTTCTCCATATGTCCCAATCCTTTCTCTCTGCCTCCCCCTCCCCAAACTTGGTACAGTGATGCCTCACAAGGCAAAATTAATTTGTTCTGCGAGTCATATCGTATTGCAAAATTTTCATCTTGCAAAGCGCAGTACTAACGGTTGTGCAATTTAAAATAAAGGGGAAAATTCATCTTGCGAAGCACGGCCATAGAAAAATTAATCTTGCAAGTCGCCAAAAAAAATTGCAAAATGCTTTCGTCTTGTGAGTTTTTCGTTGCGTGTGGCATTCGTCTTGCGAGGCATCACTCTATAGTCAAAGGGGAGCACACAGGGCAGACAGGTGTCTGCTTCTGGCCACAGATCAGCTGCGTTTTCTTCCCTTGCATTGTGACGTGTGGCTTCTCTCTCTCTCATTCTCTTTCTCCACCTCTGCCACCTGCCATTCCCCACCATACTTGAACCAACCCCCTTTCCTTCTCACTAACTCTAGTTTTGCACAAACACAAATTCCTGCGTTCTATTTCAGATTTGAAATCGGAGAAGGCTTAAAAGCTTCCCTGAGCTCTGATCTCAACGTTCACGCTGTTAGATCCAAACAGCAGACAGCTCACTTGGAGCTGATATGCTCTATCCATTACATCCCACTGCCCTTCAACTATCTGCAAGCTGCCCTGGATATACTGGCGACTAATAACACTCCCTTCCCCCATTGCTTTATAAGACTTCCTTCCTTCCTCATACCATGCTGGATAATCCCATGTTCAAGGAGAGTCTGGCAGAGCTCCACGGCTTCTTTCCGGTTGGCTGCTTCCCCTTCCTGGACCATCCAATCGACCATTTCACAACCGAGAAAGGTCCTTTGGTATTTCACCGAATTCTCCTCTCTGGCTTTCAAGAAGGTGTCTTCCACACTGATCAACCTAGGGTCAAGGCAAGAGAGGACATTCAGGCTATTCCCGTTGGAAAGGCTCTATCACTGCAAGTCCCTAGATCAAACATTCCCAACCAGTCATCTGTAGATCACTGGTGACGCATCAGAAGGGGACTGTATTGACTGAACAATGAAGCTCTGCTTTGCAGGTTAAATCAATTGCAGAGAAAAAGGACAGATCCTGAAGCTGAGACTCCAATACTCTGGCCATCTCATGAGAAGACTCCCTGGAAAAGACCCTGATGTTGGGAAAGTGTGAAGGCAAGAGGAGAAGGGGACGACAGAGGACAAGACGGCTGGACAGTGTCATTGAAGTGACCAACATGAATTTGACTCAACTTCCAGGAGGCAGTGGAAGACAGGAGGGCCTGGCCTGCTGTGGTCCATGGGGTCACGAAGAGTCGGAAACAATGACTAAACAACAAACAACAACAGCAATTCTGGAAGCTAAGCAAGGTTACACCTGGCTTGTACTTGAAGGGGAATATCATGGATCTTCTGGTAGAGCTAAGAAAGAAATGTTGGAGGGCCATCACTGCTGTTCAGAGCTGATGATGGTGGGCTACATGGACCAGCCAGTTTCTTATGTTCCAGCGGCTTATCATGCAAAGGCTTAGAATTAGTAACAGCCACTTCTAGGCAGGACGGCTTGTCCCCCATCAGCCACATCTTGGGATAAAAAACATTTACACTAGCTTATTTATGTGACAGTCTGCAAAAACTGTCAGAAATACTGAATATGATGGTGTGCTTTAATATTTATCAACGTTTTAAATAATGTTTTGATTCTTGTTTATTGAATCATTTTAAATGATGTATTTATTATGTTTTAATATGCTGTTTTTAAACACTGCAAGCTGCCTTGAGTCCTTTATATAGGAGGAAATAAAATAAAATAAAGGAAAATAAAATCTGATAGGGTTTGCAAATACTGTAGATATAAAAGAAGGGAGAGCTTGAGCACACCGCCCCAGGCCTGGGAAATGTGCTGCTTTTCTCAGGTCTGATGTTTAACCACAAGAGGGCGAGCCAACCCTACTGGATTCAACCAACACAGTCCCTTATTCTTCCTTGAAGGTTTGTCCTCATGCATTTGAATGAGCCTCCTTGGGAAGGTGAAAATAGGATGTATTTTGGATGGATGGAAGATCCGACTTTTCAATTCCTGGCTAATCAATATGACAATCTCCTAGTTTTAGTGTAACATCTTCTGAGCCACCCTGAAGCATGTCACGGTCACGTCTGAACCTAGCCTTCGCTGGGAATCGTTCTCCCTTCCTTTTCCAGCTACTTGCGTGTAAACACAAGAGTCATGCTGTCCTCCAGCAGGCCCCAGGTTCATCAAAAGTGCAGGTCTTCAGTACTTTACCAGGTAAAGAATTTCAGAAATTCATGATGTACGGTGCAAATCACAGAATTTATAGGAAAGTGAAGATGGAAGGGGCCTATAAGGCCATCAAGTCCAACCCCTTACTCAAGGCAGGAATACCATCAAAGCATCTCTGCCAGGGGATTATCCAAGTTTTTCTTGAATGCCTCCAGTGTTGGAGTGCTCACCAACTCCCGAGGCAACTGGTTCCACTGTTGTACTGCTCTAACAGTTAGGAAGGTGTGTGTGTGTTTTGGTTGTTGTGGGTATTTCAGGCTCTTTGGCCATGTTCTGAAGGTTGTTCTTCCTGATGTTTCGCCAGTCTCTGTGGCCGGCATCTTCAGAGGACTGGAGTAGGAACTCTGTCCATGCTCTCTTTTTTTCCTGATATTCAGGCTTCCTTTAACTTGAGCCCTTTGTTTGTGTCCTGCACTCTGGGATGATCAAGAACGGATCCTGCCCCTCCTCTGTATGACAGCCTTTCATATATTTGAAAAGTGCTATCAAATAAAAGGACTCCTTTTCATTCATTCTAAACCTCTTGCCAAACAGCTTCATTAGACGATTTTCAGTATGATAAGAGGAGAGAAAATTGTCTCTTTTAGCTTTTTCCCTCATGTTTTCAATTAGTCCTCTTTTTCTGGAAACTAACCTCCCCCCCTGAAATATATAGCCTTTCATGGCACATGGAAGCACCTACGCCCTGCCGTTGTCAGGCTGACCTTCTTGGTTGCCCCTTTCTGCACACACCCCCATTCAAAAAGGGTTGGATTCAAGAAAGTTGGATTTTAGTGCCCAAACTAGTATTTTGCCTGATCTGAGGATAATCAAGAAAATAGTAAAACTGACAAAGCCACAGTCTATAAACCCTCTTATGTAGCGATGCACATAGCATAACTCTAGGAGACAAATTATCAAGGACATTATCAGTTGCATGCTGAATCTTACAACTCAGTAGGCAACTGATAATGTGTACAGTGGTGCCTCGCATTACGATGTTAATTCGTTCCAGTGAAATCGCTGTAGAACGAAAACATCGTAATGCAAAATTAAAAAGCCCATAGAAACGCATTAAAACCCGATTAATGCGTTCCTATGGGCTTGAAACTCACCGTTCAGCTAAGATCCTCCATAGCGTGGCCATTTTTGCTGCCCGTGCAATGAGGAAACTGTCCCAGAAAAGAGCAGGGAGCCATTTTTTTTACCCGGTGGCCATTTTGAAACCGCCGATCAGCTGACCGAAAATCATCGTTTGTGAGAATTGGTTCCTAAAGCAGGGAACCGATCATCGCAAAGCGAAATTCCCCCATAGGAAACATCATTTTGCGATCGCTTTTGTGATCGCAAAAACTTCATCATAATGCGATTTCGTCGTTAAACGGGTCGCTCGTCTTGCGAGGCACCATTGTATAGTGATTTATTTATTTTTTAAGTTGGGGAAAGTCATCTCCAAAATTTGGACCAATATTTCAAGTCTGAGAATGAGAAGATTTTTCTTCTCTTGATCACATAATAAAATGATAGGTTTGCAGCCTTTTGGTCTCAAGAGCCAAAGTGTAAAATTTCCGCGCCCATCTAGACAGATAATCTACTCTGGGTGGCATGACCAAATTTAAAAATAATAAAACCAATAACATGTAAAAATCCAAAATGTAAAAATATAGATATTAAAAACCTTGCTACCGAAACAGTAAGAGGCCCTGCCTCACAGGAAAACTGACAATCGTTCCCAGATATGTAACATCAATCTCTGGACATTTTTTCTGCACCATCCATGAAGGGGAGGGGTGCTCAGAGCCTGAGGAAGGGGATTCCATCCATGAAAGCTTGCTATCGGTTTACATTTTTCAGTGGTCCAAATTTGTGTACTCCTGCATTTGTGTAATCTTTGGGGCCACAGTGCTCCTTTCCTTGTTCTTTCTACATGTAAGAAAGTCTGCCATCAGGCTGGGCTACATCCAAGTTTTTAAAAAGTCTCTTTAAAAATTATGGTGAAGTCCTTATACCCATATATGTACAAGTATTAAAACAGAATCTGCGTATCGGCAGTTACCATCAAGCCTGAAGAGATTCTCAATTCTTAGGACTGCAAAAGCTTGGGGAGGGATATCTCTTTTCTCAAATCCCTCAGAAAATAAAAAATATAAAGAATCCAAACATGTAGAGGAACGGTTCTGAGAGTTATAAATCTAGCTGTCCGAGACTTTGCCCAAAAGGAGGACTCACGTACTTTTCATACAGGCTCTGACCCCTCATGAACACCTTGACATCTTTGTTGAGGGGGAAGGTCCCATCGTCCTTGCGGAAGCGATACAGCAGCTTGGCGTCCTTGTAGTCAAAATGTTCATCGCAAACTGAAAAGAGATCAAGGTAAATATCATCATTCTCTGAGGAAGGCATCCAACCTAAATATTCTGCCTTGAAGTTTACAAAGAAGGGCCATGCCTAAAATTTACAGACAAGGGCCATGCCTAAAATATAACCTTTTAGGTTAGATCTTTATATTTTATTTATTGCTTAAAACAGCTCTCCTTTCTAAGTGTGCCCTACATCATGAGTGGGCAAGATTGGCTAGAAAGGACAATAATGCTAGGAAAAGCTGCAGGTGCTTGGAAAAGAGGAAGACCAAATACAAGATCGACTGAGTCCCTAAAGGAACCCACAGGCTTCAGCTTCCCAGAGATGTTCACGACATTGAGCAGGGATGTTCACGACATGACCTCTTGGAGATAACTCATTCATAGGGTTGCTGTAGGTTGGAACCAACTTGACAACTTATGTTAGTCTGTTTTCACAAGAAAACTAAAACTAAAATTTTAGTAGCATCTTTGAGACTAATAAGTATATTCCTATCTGGGCTTTTGTGGTTGCAACTCACACCTTCAGATGCAGAGAGCACATTATAGTGCATATACAGTGCGTGGGAACAGGAGTGGGATCAAGTGTGTGTGTGGGGGGGGTGATGAAAAATGTGGGACAATATGGAATGACAATGGTTCTGTTGATATTAGTTCTAAAACTAATATCTTTAGAACTCATACCATGGGTATCTTTCTATTGCCAGTGTAGTGCAGGAGATAAGATTCCTGAATTAGGGCTCTAGGGACCTGGGTTCAAATCCCTGCTTGGTTGCAGAAACATATTGGGGAGCAACACTGGTAAAACCATTCCATGAAGTGTCCACAAACCTCAAAAAACCCTTTTGGGCTGCCAAAGGTCGCAAGCCACTTGACAGCACATAATGACACTTTATTCGAGGATGTTAATGCAATTAGAACATGTAACTCATGTATCTTCACTGCCTATACATTTATAAAGCTGTTCTCGCCTTGGAAACTCATTCCCAGGTGTTCGTATGCAACTTCTCGCCACAAAACGTCACTGGTTTGCTTTTGTTTTTACTGGGGAAGCCTCTTGGTAGAAAGGACAAACATATACTGTATAATCAAACATCACAATCAAACAAGTTCAAGGCTGGGTCTTGTTCATTCCTGTAAGTAATAAAGAGCCAGCTTTAGCTTGGCCCGGAGAGGCAAGGAACGATATGACACAGCTAGATTCTTGTGGCACTGAGTTCCACAGATGTGGAGGCACCCACGAAATACATAATGGGCTGGAGTTCTTTAGTGGGCCAATACAATTGCTCATTCCCAAACGGATGCCGCTTAGATAGCCTGAACTACAACTCCCATAATCCCCAACCATCACAGTCAAGGGTTCTTGTCCAATGTATTTTCCACTTAGGAAACTACTCAAAAGGACTACCTCAAAGAATGATTGCCCTTGCACTGTGCATTCTTTGCTATGATATTCTGGCCAAGGTTGATAAAGTTACTTTTTGGGGACCACACCAGTCCACATGCAGATAGTACTGTATTCTAAAGAGTAGCCTTACTGACTTTATTTTATTTTATTTAAAATGTCTTTACCCCATTTTTCTCCTTAACAAGGACCCAAGGTGACTTACATCACTAAAAGACAATATTTGAATCCATAAACAATAAGTATAAAAATACTAAAGTGAATCAAGCAAATACTATATTTAAAAAATGGTAAACAAAAGCGACACCAAAACATATTCAAAGCAGTAAAAGCCACAAAATTTCTCTGACTACATATCTCATCATCACGACACATCTCTGATTACATATCCCATCATGATGACAACCATCCATTGAAAATCCATTCAAACAGCCAGTCATTGAGGGAAAGTTTTCCTGAAGAGAAAGGTTTTGGCCTGCATGCGGAAGGACAGCCAAGATGGGGCCCGCCAGGCCTCCAGTGGGAGGGAGTTCCAAAGTCTGGGAGCAGCCACAGAGCAGGTCCTCTCCTGTGTTCCTACCAAACGACTCTTAGAGGGTGGTGGGACCAAGAGAAAGGCCTCAGTTTTTAGCCTGGGCAAGGATATCAGAAAAAAGAAAAGAAAAAAGAAAAAGAGACAACTTTTTTGTGGCACATTAAAGACTAACTCTATATTTTAATGTGCACTTTCATGGACCAAGTCAATGTCCTCAGACACGGATCACCACTTCCCTACCACAGGCAGGATCACTATGGGACTCAGGTGATGGTGGTCCTGGGACCACTTTTTGGTCTCCCTCACAAAGCGATTTGCTTAAACTCTGTACCTCAATTTAAAGAATCCCAAAGAGTTTTGCCTCTCTGCTCAACGCGGCTGCTATTTATTATTCAGTTACCCAGGTTATTGTTTGGAAGGAATATAAATGACATACTTACAGTCAACAAGCTTCCTTTAAGAATATATATAGAGAGAGGAAAAAATGATGTTTTTTTTAAATAACCTAATGAGTGGTGATGAAGTTCCTCTACTCTTGTAACAAGCAACAGTTATTTAGTGATTTATGTTTCAGAATATGGACGGGCTACTTTTTCGATTACAACCCTCGGAGCGGGCAGGTGATTCTGGGAATTGCTTTTTAGAGGCTCCGATTCAGGGGAACTCTTTGTGGTTGGTGGCTACACCTAAGACCGCATCTGGAAGGAGAAAAACAGATTACTGTAAGTTCAAAGCGCATCGGAGTCTTTCATTACAATGCCTTCCTTACAGGCGGAATCAGGAGGAAATGACTGGATCTGAGCCAAAGAAAGGGAAGTCAAACATGGAAAGAAAGGGGAAAAAAGAGCCCAGCACCGCACATTTTACTAAGGATTATCTGACAATGTCCTTGATAAGTGGCCAAATAAATTTAATTTCTTGCCCGTGACCTGTTATTTAAGTTCAAAATATCAGGATGCTTGTATAACTGCCTTCCTGGCTGTAAAAAAATTAATAGCTTTGTGTGTTTGATGGGGAAAGAGGAGGAATCGGAGGTGTTAATAATTAGCTCAGAACTAATCAAAGCACCACAGAAAAGTTTAATTCCTTTCAAGGTACACCAGTCTTGACATGAGGCAGCAGATGGCAGTGAGCAGTTATGTTTACCTCGTCATTTAATTCGAAAAGACTAGGATAAACAACAAATATTATTGCTGCAGATGAGAGATAGTGATCTGAAAAACTCCAGATGCACTTACTCCTCTTTCGGAAATTTCATCTATCCCCGTATCATCCTGACCCAGATGATTACAGATTAAGAGGGATGTCATTAATGTTGGTAATTCTCCATTTCCAAGCCAAATCCCACTTCTTTCCCCTTCTAATACGTATCCCAAGGGGCAGGCCAGTTTCCAAATATTTCTGTCAGATAAATGGGGTGGGGTGGGGAGGCACAGCTGGATGTGCAGGATAGGAGCCGCTAAATCAATTGCGCCGACATGCTTATTCAGATCTCAACCCCTCTTGTAGATCTCACAGCAATATTGGTGATTTTTGCAAGGAAAATGTGCCATTTAATGAGTCCCACTGCAGGAAAATAATCATCACATCATTTCAATTAGCCTCAAAGGTGTGATTAGATTTAGTGTCGATTTCTTACACTGTTCGGTAAATTCTGTTAACAGACTCTTCCTAGCGCCTGTAGATTGCTTGGCTCTCCCATTCTAAACTATTTCTGTTCCCAACTTGGGTAACTCAGGTGCTCCTGGACTAAAACTCCCAGAAGCTTTCACCGCCAGCTTTTGTTAGCTGGGGTTTCTGGGAGATGCAGTCCAAAAACGCCTTGGTTACCCAAGGTCGGGAACGACTGCTCTCAACTTGTATGGCACAGAATGCCACTACGTAGGGAACACTGACAAGGTTATTGCCTCCTACACACCTTACTTCTCAGATTCTCAGAGACTTCATAATAGCTCATCAAGACAGAACATTTGTTCTGTTGCTTGGTGCCTAAAAATGTATGAGATACACTAGGATCTACGTCCAAACTTCTCTTTAAAAATCTACTCTTCTTTTCTTTAAGAAATCTTTATGAAATTGTTAGGAAATATACATTCCCTCCATGGGTTTTTGTTGCTGTTGTTTTTAAAGTGTTCGTTGTCGTTAAGTCGTGTCCGACTCTTCGTGGCCCCATGGACCAGAGCACGCCAGGCCCTCCTGTCTTCCACGTCCTCCCGGAGTTGGGTCAAATTCATGTTGGTTGCTTCGCAGACACTGTCCAGCCATCTCATCCTCTGTCGTCCCCTTCTCCTCTTGCCTTCACACTTTCCCAACATCAGGGTCTTTTCCAGGAGGTCTTCTCTTCTTGTGAGATGGCCAAAGTATTGGAGCCACAGCTTCAGGATCTGTCCTTCCAGGGAGCACTCGGGGTTGATTTCCTTTAGAACTGATAGGTTTGTTCTCCTTGCAATCCAGGGGATTCTCAAGAGCCTCCTCCAGCACCACAATTCAAAGAAATCAATTCTTCGGCAGTCTGCTTTCTTTATGGTCCATAAAGAAAGTGTCAGCCTAATGCTAATTGAAAGCTTCTTATCAAAGGCGCTCATTACAGCCATCCCTCGCAAATATCACTTTGTTCGCCCCTGGCACAAAGTGATCTTAAAAGACCAACCATGCATTTAGGAGGAAACAGAAAGAAGTAGAAAGTCACAGGAAAAAGCACGGACCAAAGTGAAATAAAGGAAACATCGTATGGATGGGAGCAAAAGCACTGACAACAGCCATACAGAACCTGGTAGTGTAAGGAAAATAAATGTTCCATCTGGGAGAACTTCAAGTTGGCTACTGTGGGAAGCAGCATAGAATCCTAGAATCATGAAGTTGGATGGGGCCATTAAGGCCATCAAGTCCAGCCCCCAAGCTCAGTGCAGGAATCTAAATATCCTTCCAGTGAGCACTCAGGGTTGATTTCTTTCAAAATGGATAGGTTTGTTCTCCTTGCAGTCCAGGGGACTCTCAAGAGTCTTCTCCAGCACCACAATTCAAAGGCATCAATTCTTCAGCGGTCTGCTTTCTTTA